TCTCTCTCTCTCTCTCTCTCTCTCTCGGCTAACAACCGATCGTAGAACTAACGACAACATCGACCACGTTCGACCCTTATCTGGGTTATAGGTTAGAGAACAACCGCTATCGAGAAGCAACCGCGTGTAGTCAGATAGGGAAATATCCTGGTATATACGGTGCAGGTGGATACCGGCGTCTAAATGCTCGTGCCAGTCCACTTACACGGCGTGGTAGGCCGAGAGAACGCTATCGGGTGATTGATCGAGCGATGCTTAGCGTCCGTGATTATCGGAAGTGTCTCCACGTCGATTATTTTGACCGATGAGCCCACGGGTATATCGAAAGGAATCACTTTTCGGGGTTACTGGAACGTGAAGGAATCCTCGGCCCCGGTCAACCCTAAGAAAAATCTATATAGAGGAATTCCCCCTCGTTCAGCCACGTCGCTCGAGTAATTGAGGCATTTCGCCTTTCCTCGGCATCGATCTTTTATTAGCTTGATACATCGGTGATTGATCGAGCGAACATCGTGCGGCCACCGGAAACGGTGTTAATTCGCTGTGTATTGGCTTCATTGATTATAATTACGTGTACGATTCGCGGTTGGTGTTACGTTGACTGATGTTAACGCGATCGGAAGTTTATAGGTATTCTAAATGCGGTTTCGTCGTCGGGGGACGTCTAATGGAAGATGAATGACTCTCGTGGAGGGAGGGGGAGGGAGAGGGGCGTGCGAGCTGTTTTACACTGATTTAAATGGAAAGTAGACGTTGTGTGAATCATTTGACGATGATATTTAATATCTGACAGATAGATCTTTTCGAAATGAAGTTGACTGAAGTAATGTCAAAGCTGATCAACTCGAGGCAGGAAGAACATGCAGATGAAACATTAGTTATTCAAAGTTTTTGTCTAGTTGAAAAGAAGTATCTCAACTAAAATTAAAATTAATTATTAGTTTAAATTTACGTTCAATTTAACTTGATCAATAGTCTGCGCAACGAGTCGTGTTTTTCGAAAATTTTTTTTTAATTTGTTACGCCACCATCGAACCAAAATCTGAATGATTTTATCGAGACGAAAATCAGCGTCGTCGATATCCGAACGATATGCTATTGGAACGAAACAACCGGCGAGAGACTTGTCGAAAAAGGAAAAACGCAGTCTGAATACGAAATAAGGCGACGTGCGTTCAGCGCGGCGATGGTTCACTAGCAGCGTGTAAAATTCCAAGTTCCGGTTCGTTCTGAGAACGTCGTTCTCCAAACTTAATCCCGCGTAATTTGCAAAGTTACATCTTCGTTGCAACCGACTAAAGCCACCATTCTTTTTTTCTTTTCTTTTCTTCTTTCTTCTTCTTCTTCTTTTTTTTTTTCATAACTATCTATACCTCGCGAAATTTCCACCGTCCAGCCTGAGGAAAGGTGGAAATACGAACGAGAAACGGAGTGTACGGTACACGCGTGCACGACACGAGCAAGCGTGTACGCGACGGCAACAACCCTTTAGTCCTTTACCCCGTATACTCTAAGTAAATCGTTTCTGTAAAACTTTCGAGGACTCGCGTCACGAACTTTAGAATGCCGGCTCATGAAGTTGTCTGGAGAGTTTT